TAAACCAGGCTACTCCTTGGAGGCAAGGGTTCTGAGGCTTCATCTGACATACTTTGGACATGTGAGGAGGGAGAGGTCCTTAGGGCTGTTGTACATAGGGTCGCTATGAGTCGCAAGCAACTCGAGGGCACATAACAATAACAACATATAGTAGGGGTAGAGCCCTTGGAGTGGAAGACACTCAAAATGAGGAGAAATGGCCACAGACATCCATTAATAATTGGAACATAGAATGTACAAAGTGTAAATCTAGGACAATTGGAAGTTGTAAAAAATGGATTGTAAAAAATATCATTAGCAAACTGAGATGGACTGGCATTGGCCACTTTGAATCAGACAATCATAATCTGCTATGCCTAGAATGAAAAATAAAGGATACTGAATTCATACTCAATCAGACCATTTCAAGATCTGTCCTAAAGTACAGTGCTTTAGTGATAGGATACTATCTATATGCATACCACAAAGATTTGTTAATACAACTATAACTCAGATATATGGAGCAGGAACTAAATTTCTGCAGTATGAAATTGCTCGAACTTGCAACCAAGATTTATAAATAATTGGTGACTGGAATGCAAAAGGCAGAAAGAAAGAATGAGGACTGGTATTTGGAAATTACAGGATGGGTGATAGAAATGAGACCAGAGATAGAATGAATGAATTTTATATAATCAACAATTTATTCATTGGAAATTGTTGTTGTTATGTGACATCAAGTTGCTTGTGACTCATAGCGACTCTGTGTACAACAGCTCTGAAGCCTTCTCTATTCTGAGCCAATTTCATTGTCTCTGACACACCTACTCCCATTACCCTAGTCACTGAGTCAATCCATATCATCCAGGGTTTTCCTCTTGCATTGCCCTTCCACCCTCCAAAGCATAGTATACCTCTCCAAGGACTGCTCTCTCCTTGCAATATGTCCAGAGTATGTTAGATGAAGCTTCAGAATCCTTGCTTCCAAGGAGTTTTGTGGTTTAAACCTCTCTAGGATGAACCTGTTTGTTCTTTTAGCAGTCTGTGGTATATTAAATACTCTTCTCCAGCACCAGATTAAAGGCATCAATTCTCCTTCTCATCTCTACCCATTGTCCAGCTTTCTGACATAAGTAATTGCAAATATTATGGCCTGGTAAGGCACACCTTGGTCTCAAGACTGACATTGTTGCTCTTCAGTGCTCTGGACAACAGACTTTCCCAATTTAGTTCATCTTTTGATTTCCTGGCTGCTGGTACCAAGAATGTTGATTGTGGAGCCAACCAAACTGAAGCTGTTAACAATCCCAATCTCTTCATTGTCTATCATGATGCTGCCAGTGGTGCGTTGGTGAGAATCTTTGTTGTTTTCTTGATGTTGAGCTTCAATCCATATTCAAAGCTGCAGTCTTTGACCTTCTCCAGCAGATGCTTCAGGGCCTCTTCAGCTTCAGCAAGCAAGATTGTATCATCTGCATAACACAGGTTTTTGATGAGTCTTCCTTCAATCCTGATTCCACGTTCTTCCACATACAGTTTATCCATTTGGGTGATCTGTTCTGTGTATAGATTGAAAAGGTATGGAGACGGGACATAAACCTGGCATACACCCTTTCCAACTTTGTGCCATGTAATGTTTCCTTGCTCTTCTGACAGCTGCCTCCTGCTCCAGGTATAGATTTCACATAGCATAGTCAAGTGTTCTGGGATTCCCATTCTTCTCAGAGTCAGCCACAGTTTATTGTTATCCACACAGTCAAATGCCTTTGCATAATCAATGAAACACAAATAGACATTCCTCTGGTACTCTGTGCTTTCAGGCAAGCTATATCTAACATTAGCGATAATATCGCTTTTTTAAAAACACAGTGACAATACACATGGACCTCACTTGCTGGATTACACAGGAATCAGATTGACTACATTTGTGGAAAGACTCCTTAGAGAGGCTAACCTATCAACAATCAAGACTAGGCCAGGTGCTGACTGGAGCAGAACATCAATTGCTTGCTTATGTGCAAATTTAAATTGAAGCTGAAGAAAAAACAAATCCACAAGTACCAAAATATGATCTTCAGTCTATCTCATTTGAATTTAGACATCATATTAAGAATAGTTTTAGGCATTGAACACTAATTTTTGAAGATCGGATGAGGTGTGGAATGACATCAAGGATATCATCCATGAAGAAAGCAAAAGGTTACTACGAAGACGGGTAAAAGAGAAGATCAAAATGGATGCCACAAGAGACTGTTAGAATTGCACTGGATGTTGAGAGCCAAAACAAAGGAAAGGATTGCCAAAGTGAGGGAGCTGAATGAAAGGTCCAGCGTGAAAAATGATGTCTATGAACTTTATGAACTTTGTATATAAGCCAGTATAAAAGAAATAATTTTTTAAAAACAAAGATTTTAAAAAACAGCTTGAGAAGACAAAGCAAAGTATTATAATGACATGTGCAAAGTGTTGGAGTTAGGAAATAAAAAGAAAAAACTCACTTGCATTGAGAACTGAAAGACAAAATCTCCAGTTGCATTTCTGAAGGATGTGATGGGCAAAACCGTAAATGATTGAAGAAGTAACAAAAGAAGGTGGATGGAATACAGTGAGTCACTGTATCAAAAATGAATTGGTTGATGCACAGCCATTATAAGAAGTGGCATATGATCAAGAACCAGTGGTGATAAGGAAGAAGTTAAAATTGCACTGAAGGCACTGGAAACAGTAAGTCTCCAGGAATTGATGAGAAAACAAATGACATGTTTCAACAAGCAGATGTAGCTCTGGATGTGCTCACTAAACTATGCCAACAAATTTGGAGGACAACTACCTTGCCAACAGACTAGAGGAGATCTGTATTTGTTTCCATGCCTCCAAAGGTGATCCAACAGAATGTGGAAATTGTTGAACAATATTGTTACCAGCACATGCAAGGAAAATCTTGCTGAAACTTATTAAAAAGGGCTAGAACAGCACATCAACAGAAAACTGCTTGAGATTCAGGCTGGATTTAGAAGAGGCCATGACAACAGTCATACTGTTGCTGATGTTAGATCTTGGATAAAAGCAGGGAGTACCAGAAAGACATCTGCTTATGTTGTATTGACTATGCAGAGACTTAATTGTTTGGATAGTAACAAATTGTAGGAAATATTGAGAGGAATGGAAAGGCTCTTCTTAATTGTGCTCATGTGAAATCTATATGTAGACAAGGAAGCTGTTGTCTGAACAAAGCAAGGGTTAAAATCAAGAAAGATGGATGTCAGGTCTGCATCCTTTCTCCATACCTGTATAATCTCTATGCTGAACAAATCATTCAAGAAGCTGGACTTTGTGAAGAAGAATGTCGCATTAGTATTAGAGGAAAACTAATCAACAACCTGTGTCATGCAAATGATACAACTTTGCTTGCTGGAGAAAGACTTGAAGTGCTTCCTGCAAAAGATCAAGGACTACAGCCTTCAGTATGGATAACATCTCAACATGAAGAAAACAAAAATCTTTATCTTTGAGCCAGTAGACAACATCATGATAGATGAAAAACAGATTAAAATTGTCAATATTTTCATCTTAATTCCACAATCAACAAACTTGGTACAACAATCAGGAAATCAAAATATGTGTTGTCCTAAGGCAGGCAGTTTGAATCCACCAGATGCTCTGCTGGGCAGAAGAAAGGGCAGTCTGTGCAAGTTGGATCCAATTTGATGGCATACCACAAGTAAAAACAAACAAACAAACAAACAAACAAACAAACAAAAAACAACAGAAAAGCCCCCACAACAAGAAACCCCACACAAAATATGTGTTGCATTGGGAAAGTCTACAGTCAGGGACCTGTCCAAAGTGTTGATGAGCAAGACTGTCAGTCTAAAGACTAAGATGTGTCTGATCTAAGCTATGGACTTTTAAAAGACTTGCTATGAAAAAAAAAAAGACTTGCTATGCATCAGATTTAGACCGTAAATAGAGATAACAGAAAAGACGTAAATACCTTTGAGTTGTGGTGCTTGAGAACAATCCCATGAATTACCAAGAAAACACAAATATATCCTAGAGAGAGTGCAGCTAGGTTGCTCCTTAGAGGGAAGGATGGTGAAACTTTGTCTTAGAAATTTTGGAAATAAGATACCATTGGAAAAGGGGGTCATCTATTTAGGAGAGAAAACCCTCAAAGAGATGGATTGATCCAGTGATTGTAACAATTGGCTATAGTGTGACAGAGATGAAAATGGCATGGCATACGGGAGGGTTCAAATCTGTTGTTCACAGGATCACTGTCCTCAACTTGATGGCACTTAATGTGAGGCCACTCGGCTTGTGGCTGGAATGTGAAAGTTGGAAAAAAGGAATGATAAGTAATTGGAAAGTATGTATGGTCTTGGTGACATAAATGAGACTGGAGATTGAGTGATATAATTTGATCCAAAAATTATTTCTTTATTGGAAATAACTTTTTTAAAAAAATAGCAGCTATACACCTGGACCTTATCGCGTAGACTACAGAAGAATTAAATTTACCGTGTCTGGGGATAGACATATAGGAGAAGCTCTTTAACAGCAATCAAAAGAAGGCTAGGTGCTGACTGTGGAACAGATCATCAGTTACTTATGTGCAAGTTCAAACTGAGGTTGAAGAAGAAGAAAACAAGCTTTGAGAACCAGCATGTAACTTTGGCTATATCCCACCTGAATTTAAAAACTTATCACAGGAGGAGATTTGATGCTTTGAACACTCATAACCAAAGACCGTATGAGTTTCTATAAAGAAAGCAAAAAAATCATTACAAAAACGGGAGAAGGAAAAGACCAAAGTGGATGCCAGAAGAGACACTGAAAACAGCAGGAACAGTGTATTGGCAAAGGACTGCTAGAATTTTAAGCTGGATTCAGAACAGGCAGTGAAAGGAGGGATATCAATGCTGCTCTTGACAGAAAGCAGAGAATGCCAGGAAGATGTTTGTGTTTTATTGACTATACAAAGACATTTGACTGTGTAGGTCATCCAAATATGGATAATAATGAGAATTAAGGGAATCCCAGAAATTGTGTTTATGAGAAACCTATACATAGATCAAGAACCTGTCATCCAGACAGAACACAGGTACAGTGCATGTTTAAAAATCAGAAATGGTGTGTGTCAGGGTTGTATCTTTTTTTCCTCCATACAAGAAACTGAAGTATATGAAGAAATTGTGGTATCAGGCTTGGAAGCAGAATCATCAACAGCCTGCATTGTGCAAATGACACTACCTTGCTTGCAGAATGTGAAGAGGACTTGAGCTGCGAAAGATTAAAGTCCATTCCCTTCAATATTGATTAAATCTTAGCATCACTAAGATTAAGATTAATTCTCATCACTGGATCAATAGGCAACATCATGAAAGATGGAGAAAAGCTTGAGCTTGTTAAGGGTTTCATTTTTCTTAGATCCACAATCAACATCAATGATAATACTAGTCAAGAAATCAAAATAATTGTTTCATCAGGCAGATCTACTGTGCAGGACTTCTTTAAAGTGCTAAAGAGCAATGTTGTCAGTTTAAAGACTCAGTTGGCCCTCTTTGCCAGCCTTGATCTTTTCAGTTGCTTTCTATACATCTGAATGTCTGTTTCAAGGGCACACTGTGTGTGGGATGTCTGCTTCAAAGACTGGTTGCTTCTAGAATATCTTGTTTCAAGGCCACATTGTGTCTGGAATTTCTACATGAATGTCTGATTGCTTCTGGGATGTCTTGGGAAAAGTGCAGCTAGAATGCTATGTGAGGTTTCATCTCACTTTTGAGTATGTTGGAGGGGAGGCTATTCCTTGAAAAAGGATATTATGCTTGGAAAGGTCAGTGAAAGATAGGAGGACACTCAGAGAGATGGATTGACACAATGACAGCAGCAGGGGCCTCAATTGTGTCAAAGATGAGGAGAAGGCACAAGATAGGACAGGGTTGTTGTAGACTCCCAATGCGTTTTTCTCTACTCAGTGGCACCTAAAAGCAACAACAACAACATACATCTGAAAATTGGACAGTGAATAAGGATGATAAAGGGAGAATTGATGCTTATGTAATATGGTGTTTTGGGGTAGAGGACTGAATTGCCAAAAGAGCAAACAAACCTTGGAATAAGTGCCCTCAGGGTACCCCTTAGAGAGTACCTAAAACTTATCCCTTAGAGGATCCTAAACTTAATCTCACATACTTTGGACATAATGTCATGAGGGGCAAATCCTTGGAAAGAGCATCATGCTGGGAAAAGTGGAGGGAAGGAGAGAGAAGAAGTCAGAGGAAGACCCTCCAGAAGATTTATTGACTCAGTGAGTGTGACATTGGTGTTCTTAACATATCAGAGATATTGAGGATGGCATAAGATAGGGCAAGGTTCAGAACTGCTGCCCAGAGCTTTGCTGATTTGTAGTTGACTTGAAGGCTCCAGACAACAACAACTACTATGAAAAAAAATGAGTCTGCTGCTCTTACGAAAATACATTGTGGAGGATTGTGCATTGGAGACAATTTTTACAATGCACATGTTATTAGCATAAAAAGAATGGGGGATGGTTGTTATGTGCTGTTGAACCAACTATGGCTCATAGCAACCCTCTAAACAATTACTCTTAAACCCTACCCTATCTTGAGCCAGTCTCACTGTCTCTGGCACATGTGCCTCTACAGATTGCTGTCAATCCATCTCATCCTGGATCTTCCTCTTCTGCACTTACTCTCCACCCTTCCAAGAATGATGTTCTTCTCCAAAGACTGGTCCTTTTTAATAACATGCCCAAAATATATGAGGCAGAACTTCACAATCCTTACCTCCAAGGAGCAACCTAATTTCACCCTCTCCACGACAGAGCTGTTTGTTCTCTTGGCAGTCCAAGGTATGTTCAGTACTCTTCTTCAGCACCACAGATTAAAGGCATAGATTCTTCTATCATCCTTGTTTATTATCCAACTCTCAGATGCATAGGAAGTAATTAAGAAGACTATGGCTTGGACCAGGCACATCTTGGTTTCTAGATTGATATTGTTGCTCCTTAGCACTCTAAAAAGTCCCTGAAAGACTTTCCCAAAATAATTTGGCTTTTTTATTTCTTGCTGGTGCCAAGAGTGTTGATTGTGGATTCAAGCAAGATGAAATTGTTAACAACTTCAAACTGTTCTCCATCTGTCATGATACTGTCAGTTGGCTAGTGGTGAGAATCTTTATTTTCTTGATGTTGAATGTCAATCCATATTGATGATTGCAGACCTTGACCTTCTACAGAAAATTCTTCAGGTCCTCCCCAGTTTCTGCAAGCCAGGTTGTATTATCTGCATAATGCAGGTTGTTAATTAGTCTTCCTCCAATCCTGGTACCATATTCCTCCTCATAAAGTTCAGCCTGCTGGGTGACCTGTTCTGCTTGTAGGTTGAAAAGATACGGAGAAAGAACACACCCCTGATGCATGCCTTTCTAGATTTTGAATCTTGCAGTACTTTTTTATCGAGCTCCAGCCTCAATATATCAAAACATTTCTGTGAGAGAAGGGATGAGGATTGAATGAAGACTCAGACAGACTGCCCATTGATGATGAATAGTAAAAGACTTTCTTTTTTGAAAAGCATATATAGGTTTTTAGAAGCACCTCTGCAGTAGCAATCGCATTATCTCTTTCCGTCCGAGATACTGACTCTCAGGTCAAACATGAACTCTCACAGACCTCAGCACAATACAAAGATGTTTTCCAGTATGTCTTATTGAGTGCTCTAAGAAACAAAGAGTTTCAGTAGATAACATTCCCTAAGGTCTGAGACCTTTGGTCACTCTTATTCATTAACATCCTGCTTCCTTGAGTTGTTTACTGCCAAGCAGATGTTCTAGCCAAGATGGAATTAGTCTTGCTGGTTTTACAGTACAAGGCTAATCTTGCTTTGCAAGTTAGCCAGGCTCCTGACACTTTCTTGCTTTGTTTGTACGACTGCTTCCTGTTCTGACTGTAGGTTTCACATGAGCATAATCAAGTGTTCTGAGATTTCCAATCTTTTCAATGTTAGCCATAATTTGTTTGTGACCTACGTTGTTGTTGTTATGTGCTGTCGAGTCATTTGCGACTCATAGTGACCCTATGTACAACAGCCCTAAACCCTGCTCTATCCTGTGCCAATCTCATTGCCTCCGACACACCCATCCTG